GTGAAGTAATCTGCGTTTCTTTTTTTATTACTTATTATATTATTTATAGATAATTCTTCGTCAAGATTTGTTGATTGACAAATACCCAATAATTGGAGTATATTATTTACGCGGTAGGCTCATTCATTTATGGGTGAAATTGTAGCATTTGTTTCACAATATCCTAAAAATCCTAAGGTTAATGTTACTTGATATGGTGTATTGTTATACACGTGTAATGAAATGATGTCGGAATTCAAATTTTTCGAGTATTTTATAGATGAGATTGTAATTTTGAAAAATTTTGAATAGGTTTAAATTCGAAGTCTGACATAAAAAGTTTTTCTCTGTTTTGACTTTTGTCATACTGATGAACTTGTGTTATTGAGAAATTATATATATTTCCTGATAGTTGTTTCAGGTGTTTCCGTTTTTGATTATAAATGGGGTAAAATTTTGAGAAAAATTGTGGTTGTTTGTTTAATCTTTGGAAGAATGTTAAGGCTGTGTTTTTTGTTTTTGTATATTTGTCTTTGATATGGATTTTACTATTTAAGATGTTGATTGTTGGTCTATATTTAGATATAAGTGGTATGCCAATGATATTGTGTTTAATATCAGTAATATGAAATATTTGTTTAAATGGTTTGTTCAAAATTTTGTTTTGTTCCATTGTTCTTGTGGGAAAAAGGAATAATTGGATTTTTCCATAATTTACTAATGTTGATCTTTGTGCTGTTGCTAATTTACTAGAGGTTTCAAGAGGTGTTAATATTGGATGCAATGTTTTGGTTTCATTCCACGTGGGAATTTTAATTATATTTGATTCTGCTCCTGAGTCAATTAAAAAATCAATTTCAAGATCTGGTGGTTGAAATTCTTTGTTTCTTGGACTCTCTAAGAGAAATGGGATTGTCCAATTTTTTTCTCTTGATTGTTCTTTTTGTATATTTTGATAAATATATTTTGTGTTTGAGCATTGTGTTTCATCTTTTTTATCGGGTTTAATTACTGTGTTAATTTCGTTTACTTTTTGTGTAGTTTGTGTATTATCAATGGGTTCAATATAGTAATTGTGGGGGAGTTCCAATTTATTTTCATATATATGTGAAGTGAAAGGTTGTTCATATATGATAGGTTCATAGTCGTTTTCGACTGTTATCATATTTACTGAGATGGTATTATCTGTATCACTTTCTGTATCTGATGATTCACAATTTATATGATTTAGTTGTAATTAGTTTCTTCCTGTATCATCAATACCCGGAGGGTCTGAAGTTGTTTCTTCATTTGTTTGCACTTGATTTATGTGTCTTCGATGTTTTGGTGTGGTACTTCTGTATCGATGTTTAGAATCGGGATAACGGTTATTATTCATATGTGGTGACTGGGAATAATTTCTGTATCGATTATTGTAACTTGAGTTTCGATTTTGTGAATTGTTTTGTGATCTGTTTTGATAAGTATCATTTGATCTGTGATAATTTGATTTATTATATGAGTTATTCCTTGATCTATTGTTTGGGTAATTCTGATTTCGATTGTTTGAATAACTTCTATTTCTATTATGTGAATATTTTCTATTTCTGTTGTATGATGAGTTTCGTGATTGATTATTGGAATAGTGTCTATTCCTTGGGTTTGATTGGGAACTGGATTCAGAAACAATTTCTTTTGTATTGGAATTCGATCGTGAATAGTTATTTTGGTTATTTTGGCTATTCGATCGATTATATCTATTTTGTGAGAAATTTCGTGTATTTTCTCGTTTGGGTGATCTACCTCTATAACTTGAGTTATATGATGAGTAATTTCTTGTGTAATTTGAGTTGCTTGGAAGTGGTTTTCCTGAACTGTTATTACTATATATATTTTTGTTTGGTAGATTTTGACCTTTTTTCATGTATTGATAGAATGATTTATTTGGTTCTTTGTGCTTTTGAGGTTTGTTCTGATTGTCTTGTTGTTTTTGTCTACATTCGGATATAATGTGTCCGTATCGTCGGCAATAATTACACCATCTTTTGAAAGATGGTTTGCCTTTAAAATTTGGATGTTTTTCGTAGATATTTAGTATTTCAGTGATTTTTTCAATCAGGTCTGTGTCTGATTCTTGTACTTTATTTTTATGTGTAGTATTTGTTTCATTTCGATTAACATATTGTAGTTTTAGATTTTCTGTTTCTTCGAGTTTTATTGTGATTTCTGCTTGTTCTAGTTTATCTACTAATTTTCGAAAGACCAAATCTGGTTCTCGAATTGAGGAAGGATGAGATGCTCTCTTGGTCTATACGTCTGATAGTCCATATGTGAATTGTCATTGGTCTATACGTTTGATAGTCCATATGTGAATATTTTGGAGCAACCGAAGGTTTAACGGTTGATTGTAGGGTTACCTGTGTTAGTGATGTATTTTTATTTCTTGGTGTTATCAGATTGGGGTGTATTTGTTGTGTAGCTTGTGCTGTTGTTTGGACGATTTCTTCATTTATGAAATGTGATGGTGCTTGTTGTGTAAGATTTCTTGTTCCATTGAGATTTTCATTATGTATGATTGTTGAATTTAAGCTGTTATTTTGTGTATCAGGTAAAAATGTAATATAATTTAATGGTGTTGCGTCAATGGTTAATGGTATTACTTTTACATAATCTCTGTGGAAAGATATTGTACTTATTGCTTGGCTCGAGATATCTTGTGGAATATTCAGAAATGCTGGATGAGACCAGTCAGGGTCCCAAATGTTATCTGACTGTTCTGAAAGGACAGTGTCATCATTGGTATTTTGAGGTCTGAAATTTTTTCTTCCTTGTGAAATTAAATCTAAATTGTGGGTGAAATAATCTATTATAAACCATGCTAAAATTTTTTGTAAATCATGTTTAGTGTTTTGTGAAACATCTTCTTCAGTAAAATTTTCGCAAATTATGTGTAGAAATGTTAAAAATACTGTGATTTCATTTCGTACTTTTGTATGTTTGGATGTTTCTGTCGGTGATGTGCTTTGAACAACTTCTGTTTTTTCCAATATAGATATATAACTATATATTATTGCAAAAACTTCGTTAGTGAATATGGAGTTTGCTCTTTGTGAATTATGATATTGTATGCTTTTGATATATTCTATAAACACTTTTGAAAATTCTATTTCAATATCGTCTGTTTGAATTACATATTTGCGAGTGATTACAAGATCGTATTTTTTGTTATCTATTTCACAATTGTGTAAAACGATTGTTTGTTTATTTCCTAAATTTTTGAATGACATAAGGTTTAGGATGAGGGATGCAAGAAGTTATTAGTGATTTTAATTTCCTAGACTGTTAGTCTTTACAATTTTTTGATTAGCTTAACCTGGGTCTTTTTGTTCAGGGTTGTAGAGAAAAGTATGTCGATTCCGAAGAATGATTTTTTACTTTCTCGTGGCTAGTCTAAGTTAAGGTGTTAACTTACTTTATCTTACTTAGGATAGTGATTGTGTTCAAAGGTTGGAGAATAGTAAATCGATCCACAAGGTTCAGTTATAATTAGAACGCGAGTAGTTCGTTAGATACTATTTTAAACTTACTAAGTCTAAGATCTATCCTGGGTTTGTTAAGAGGAGGATTCAAGTGAAGGATGAATAACCGAAGTTCTTCACTGTTTAACTTAATTTGAATGGTTAGTTTTATTTAAAAGTTTCTATTAGTCCTGGTTTTTTTGGAAAGGTTGGATAGTGAATCGACGTTTGAGGTCGTTAGACACTTGCTAAGTGGGTGGGGGAGAACAAAATTGTTCTTTTTGATCCAAGGATAGGCCTTGATGATCAGATTTTAAATTTAGTGAGATAGAAAATTTATAAAGATCCAAGGAGAAGCCTTGATGATCTGATTTTTTTAAAATTAAGTGAATTTAAATTTAAAATGGTTTAAATTTATTTAATAAAACGATTTAAACGATTTAGTTTTTTAATGATGTTATTGAGCTTATGACTGCTGTTATGTTTAGGTGATGAAGCTGGAACAACAAGATGGTTTTTTATTACTAACTATTTATTGTCATGCTACTAATTTTTATTTTTATTTTCAATAAATATTTTTCAAATATGTTTTAAATAATACTGCAGAAATTAGGAAACCGATCTGAGATCTTTTTGTCAATCGTTATTGTACATTAATAATTTTATGTAGCGCCTGAAATGATCATGAAGATTTACTTCAAATTTTTATGTTTGCAAATGAAAATCTAAATTCATTGCTAATAAGATTCTAAATATAAAAGTTTGTTTTGGATTTTGTCTTACAACCATGAAACTAAATGGTAAGTTTCTATGTAGTCGTATATCGTCTCTTGTCCGAGGTCTTCTTCCAATACCAGGTAGTTCTAGTATTGTGCGGAATATCGGCTCTGATCTATTGAGTCGTAGAGACATTTCAATTAAGTTATTATCGTGTAACATTTTGAAAATGTTTTGTCTAATTTCTAATCTATTTTTGGTTAATTCTAAGCTATTAAGTTCTTATTCGAGACTTATGGTCGCACCAGATGAGTTATAACCGAAGGTGGTTAACTCATAGAGTAATTTCGGATAGGGTACACCGTCTGCTCGTCACGCTATCTTATTTTCGGCCGGATAGATTCGTGTAACTTCTTAGTCTAGTACCAATCCTAATCTTACTCTTATATCTACTAGTCTCAGGGTGTTTAACTAGTCTCTGCTAGGCTCAATAGATCTAGAGTATACTGGCTTATTGCGGCAGCTGAAGTTCTCTTGGAGAGGCAACTGATTTCTAAGTTAAATTCAAACCTCTCTGGTGCTGAAATTACCAGTAATTTCAGCACTTACAAATTAGTGGGTTGTTAGTTAGATGGATTATGATTGGTTAATATTAAATATTTTACACTGGTAAAAAATCTAATTTGTCCAATAATAAAATGTAGTTTAGATCAGGTTTCAATAGAAATTTGGCCATAAGTACATGCAGAATTCAAACCAGTAACAACTTCATGTTTAAACTACAAATTTGAAGCAGCCATTTCTTACCTCAACTCACGACACATTCTGCCCTCTGCAGTCCACCAATTGGGAATCCAGAACAGAAGAGACTGCCATTCATTGTTGTCCCCCCTACTTCCACTTACTCTACTCCACTCTCCTCTCTCTCCCCCTCCCCCTCCCCCTCCCCCTCTGATGCCCCCCTCCCTTTCGATGGGAGACAAGAGCCCCCCAGTTGAGAAGACAGAACTACTTCTTCCGCTGCAGTTCACCCCACAGTGAGGTGATGAAATTAATAAAACTGAAATATTTAAAATATTATACAACAAAATATTATATTGAGTTGCTTCAACAAACTACCACCCTCTTTTTGTTTTTCGCGAAAAAGCTTTAAAGCTAGGGGGTATTTAAATGTGGTACAATGTCTACTTTGTTGGTACAATGTCTTTTTGTTCACATTGTGAAATTGTCACAAAATTTGGCATGTGTGTTGAAACCAAAATTACATCCATATGATCATATTATTGAAATTCGTAAAATCAATGATTACACCAAAAAATGGTTGTTTATAGGGGGTGTCGGAAACTGCAGTAGAACTGCTGGAACTGGACAACGTGAAAAAAGTTGCTGCATGAAAAAAAGGCCAGGTGAGCTTTTCACACTTACCAATGATGAGAAATTTAGGCTTCAGGTTAAATCTATCCATCTATACAAGGTGACGATGATATTTACTGCTGTAGGTCAAAATCTGCCAGAAGAAATATGATCACCTTTTACAAAACAAACAAATAAAGAAATAAATTCACAAAACAAACTATTTTAATGCCACCAACCAACACAATCCTATCGTAGAAGTTCACTTTTCGCCCTTCCATACAAACTCGCGATCCAGTTCGGGTGGCAAAAAAGCGGCTAAAAATGTCATCAAATATGTTTTTGCACGTTTTAAATTATTAAAAACTGGCCTATGGTTTAAGAATTGCACCAATGTTGAACAATAGCTGATATTTTAGACTCAAAATCTAATCAGAATGGACCATCAGGGAGTCGAGGAATTTATCGAAACGCTCGAACGATGTTTTTTTTCATCCTTTTGAGCAGATTGATATCGCCCTTAGACTTAGTTTGACTTTGCCAGACATCATTTCAGACTTGAGAAAGGTTTTCAAAGGAACTATTTCAGATTCTTTAAATCTTTAGTTCAGATTTCAATTAAAAACATCCAGTCATAGCTCAAAAGATGCAATTCGTTATATTTAACTCTGTGTTCTAACTATTGAAAATGAGGAGGATTTTGTATTCGGGTGTTTTAGTTTTTTCATTTTTTGTTTTCCACGCAAAATCAAGTACCAGAAATAATCATCGGACTAGTTCGAGTGACAATTGAAGCACTTTTCGATCGAAATTTAAAAAGTTGTCGCAGTTCCGACAAAGAAACCGCTGTGAAATGTTTAAGTTTTGACCAAAATCGTGACAGTAAAGAACGTTCGTTGTAAAATTGGTCATTTTGATTAAATCATCTTGATGTTTTTGATTTCTTTTCCGTTTTTTGAGGACAAACGTTGTTGATTAAAAAGGCAATCGTTTTTTTTTGTGAATGCGGTCGGAACAATGTGTGCCACTAACACAGCAACCAGCGTCTAGAATTTTGCTTTTGTCAAACTTAATTTTCTCGTTGATAGTTGTAAAATCATAACTTGATAATCCCAACCAGTTAATCAAAAATCATAACCAGCTAATCAAATCAAATCTAATCAAAGCTAATCAAAACAAATCTAATCAAAAGACTTTCTTCTGTGTGGCGTGAAAAAAATTTACAAAACGGGTATAAAGTTAATGAATTAAGCATTAAATCATCTGATTGTCTTCAAAAATTATATGAAGGAAAAAAGAGAAAATTGCAAAAAAATTAAAGTTTTTCCAAGTTTTTTTCACTAAAACTTTTAAATTTGAATCAAAAAATTATGGCCAAAAACTCCCTTAATGAAGCTTCAAAAAATGGTTTTCTTTGTTGTAAAATCAGTTTTTTAATGGCTAATTTGGCTAATTTTTATATTTATAATGAATTTGATCGCTTCACCCGCTCGAAATTTGACGAACCCATTCCGATGATTATTTGTGTTACTTGGTTTTGCGTATAGTTTGCACAATAATCTGATCTTTAAAAAAAATCAAAACTTTTTTTCTCGGGATGTTCATTATTCTTTCAAAAATCGGCGATTTAAATAAAAAAATTTAACCCCCATTTAAGATGTTGACATGTGGAGTTCATTTTAAAAAGGTATTTTTTAAACTTTCGATTATTAAGCCATGCTCTCCACTAATTTAAGAGCCCTTTGAAAAATTTGCTCATAATTCTGATAGTGTAACGCAACCTATCTATGGATGGCGACTACAAATTGTTCCAAAATGAAATGAGGCAAGCCTAATTTTTGCATTTGATTTCCAAAGCTTACGGGTTTCAAATTTTTTTTACCGACAACTCTTCGAGATCAAACAAGAGGCAGTCGGAACACTCAGTGCTTTGCCCTGGTACACGAGTAGTCTTGTTCATGGCTACACATTTTTGCTCTTCAATTGCTTAATATCTGCAACAGTTTCAGTTAATTTTTGTCAATTTAGTTATTATTTGGGTTTGGTAAAATTTTTCCTAAAAAGATTTTCAAACTTATACAGAAGTACTTTGGAGACAATTTTAAAAAAAGATCCTCAAAATTTTGAATAAGTGTTTTGGAGAAATTCGTTTTTAAAACTAAAATCTAACGTGGACCATCAGAAACTATTTATCAGTTCCCATTATCCTACCCAAAGCAAAAAGTGGAAGAAACTATCACTGTTATTGCAGTGTTTAGCAAACTACTGTGCTCGAATGTGTATGCTTTATTTTTGATATAATCAAATAATTTGTATTATTTTCGAACAAAGGTTTTGATTCGATGTACCTGAGTACATAAGAAAAAATAAAATCCATTGTTTGATCAGTAGTGAGTTCACTGAAAATTTTTTAATTCAATGGACTTTAAAGGTTTTGTTTGGTTAACTTTTTAACACAATTTATTCGCTATTAGATTAGCTGTATCAAATTTTACTTTCATGTAATCCGAATTTTTTTAAACAATTTCAAAACAATTTAAGAACAGTATCTTTTTCAGAAGAAACATTTTCGTTGCAGTTGTTTCTAAACTATTATAAAGTTATACTTATGAACAAAACCATACATTTCAAAATATATAAAAGTATTTTGCACAAGAGGCGCAGAAGCGAGGGCAAAAGTCTGATTACCGCACTTTCAAACTACTGAGACCAATGTTCCTCGATCCTTGCAGTTTGCGAATTTGAAATAGCTACTGAGTGCTATATTACTTGTTTTATAATAGTCCCTAATACATGCGGCGAGAGATACTTTTGAAATAAAATTTCCTTATTTTTATCTTATGAAACTTCACATTACGAGGCCAAACTGCGCATTTTGTGAATTGTAAGCGGATTTCGCAACAGGCAAAACTTAGATTTGTCTCGGAATCCGCAACTTTGCTAATTTTCTTCGATCTTATTAAATGTTTTGGATTCCACGGACAAATCGCTAAAACACTGTATTGCTCAAAATCGCTCCAAAAACAGGCATTTTTGCGGAATCCAAAATAAAATGTGTGGAATCGGGAACCAATTTGCGGAACCATGAGCAAATAATAATATATGTGTTTAGGAAACTTAAGCTGTCGCAGAAATCGCAACTGTAAGTGGAATCCACAAATTGTAAGCGGAAATCGCAAATTGTAAGCTGATTCCGCAAATTGTAGGCCGAATCCGCAAATTGTAAGCAAAATCCGCATAAATTTGCGGAACCCACTTACCTTTGCGGAATCCGGAACAACTACCTATCTTCGCTCGTTGCGGAATCCGCAACAAAATCAATGTGACGACAAAATTTACGCGGGAGGTATTTGTACGCGGATTCCACTGAAATTTTGTAAGTGGAATCCACTTCCATTTTGGAACATAATTAAAGACTTATCTCTGGAATCCAGAAACATGCAGACACAAAATTGTGCGCCTATCCAGTGTACAGTTTGGCCTCGTAGTGCATTTTCAACAAAAAAACTCTAAAAGTTATATATCATATCAAACAAAAGAAAAGAGTACAAATAGTTCATTTTTACCCCAAGATTTCCAAAAGGGTAGTACTACTCGACAAGGAAAATACCTCATTGCTGAAGCTGAGCATGTTCAAACAAGGTTGAAACTTATTTGAAGAACATATCTGTTAAAGTTGTGTTATCATGAAAAATTTAGGTATTCCTCATAATCTAGTGAGTCAAAGTCCAGTGAATCAAAAATTTGTTCTGCAAGAACCTTTTTGCTCTTAGCAAAATGTTTCACGAACTTCAACATGTAATTAGCCAAAAGATCGAAGAAGTATTTTGTCTCTGGTACGTGTAAAGGATTAAGGGCTTAATTTCACTATGAATCAGTTCATACTTGGTTCAATTTTCAACTCCTTGAATACAATCTTAAAAATTTCGCAAAAAATCATAATGAGCTAAAATTTAAGTCTTGTCAATTTTAAACTTAATAATACAAGTAGATCACGCTGATTTCAAGCAAAAACGTTTTATCAAACTTTACTACAGTATAGTCTATATTAATTGCACACAATTCTGAAAAAAGTTTTGATAAACCAAAGCCGAAAACTTTGAAACGACCACATTAAAATTTGATCTTCCACTATTTTTTTTAAATTTTTAATATTTGCATAGACTGCACACACAATGAGTTTACAATTGATTTTCTTTGCAATTTATTTACATCATTAATCATTGGTTACCACACACTATTGAAAACAAGCGAAAAAAAAAGAAAAATGTTTTAAATTTAACGTCCTTCTAAATCAATACTAGTTTTTCTGTGAAATTTTATTGGCCTGATTCGTAATGTTTTGAACTATTACAGATTTAAAAAATTTAAAGTCAACTGTTTTTCTAAGATCTTTTTAATTTGGATTTTTTTTATAAGAAGGGGGTATAGCCAGGGCAAGGGGAGGAGCCAAAGGGTTGAACCAACAAATTTTCCAAAAATTTTTTAAGAAAATTTTGATCGAAAATTGATTTTATAGTAATTTGGCACTGCTTGAATCATTATGCACCCTCACCCCCTCATTTCCTCGATGGAAAGATACACTCCTGCCTGTTAGTCCTAGCCTGCTTCACAAAATACTCTGAGAAACTGATATTTGAGTCGTGATGAGATCTCGATTGAATGAGGATTAAAGACAAAGTAGTTTTTTTTTCAGGGGGAAATTTCGACATTGTGAGATTTTTTGCATTAGTTGTCTTTAGACTTCTTAGATCAGAATGAACATTATCAACTCTAAATCGTGTTAAATTAGCTCACTAAGTTCTATCTTTCATCGAATACTTTTACGCGTAGTGCTGAGCAACCCACAACTAGTGTACATTAACCGGCAGAAGTAGAAACCAACAGGCAGTTCGCGGAGTATATAAGCCAGCATTTGGACATTGTCTAATTTGGACAATCAGTATTTACTCGGCCAAAAGATAGTTTAAGTCTGTGAACAAGTTTCACGCAGTTTGCGCGCAAGTTATTGTCTAGTTTCCGTATTTTTCTTGTCGTCTAAGTTCCTAAACCGCAGTCAAAGAGAACCGACACTTCCGGCTGGTTTATATATCATCACATTTATTGGTTTGTGGTGAGTAGGTGAGAGGGTAGTTGCAGGCGCATGTTACTGGATGGGCAGCTGAGTTCCATTTGCAGTAGACATTCGGATCAGTCCCACAGTATTGTATCAAAGTGCTCGTGTAGCATGGAGTGTACTCTGCATTAACATAACGACCTCTTAAAATGTTACCATCTTCCAGGGGCGGATTTAGGGGGGGGGGATTGGGACGGACGCCCTCTTTCTCTTCGGCGATTTGACCCTCTCGCCAAACAAATGTCCCCCTTTGTACTATTTTGCGATATCCATTTTTGGCTGACTGACCCTAAATTTTACTAAAGGCGCCTTTATCGCCGATATAAACTAAGTTTGAAGAGAAAAACGCATTTTTTTTGGACAAAAATTCCAAAAAGTGCCCAAAAACAGTAAGTGTTCCTATTGGTCAAAAATCCTGTTTTAATTATTCAGTATTTTTTGTTAAATTGTTCATTTTATGAACAAAACTTTTGCAACTATCTCACAAATCTTTTAGGGCATAAAATTCCAGAGAGTATGATGATAGGAACTATTGAGCTGATTAGTTTTGTTGTAATTTTCAATTTTCTCCACATCTTTTTTCATCTATGTATGTATCTGTTTTGAGATAATTTTTTTAAATCTCAAACTTTGAGATAATCCACGATAGATTTCGTTTCAAACCGATTTAATTCAAGGTTTTAACGGCATTCTCGCAGACTGCGTTTGTTAAACTGATCGACTGAACTTTATTTTGATGGCTAAGTTTTGACTTATATAGAAAAAACTTCATTTTTGATCCATTTTGCGAAGCAAAGGACGAAACATTCATCCTTGATACTGATTTGTTATTCGATTTAGTATTTTCTAAAAAAAATTATAAGAAGGACAAAAAATGGACGCATGTTAATTTTCCTCGAGATGGATTTCTATGGACAAAACAGAACATTTCCAGCTAATCAGTCCACTATTACTACCAATCGAAATAACAATTCGAACTATTCAAATCGACTAAATACAAAATGTACTCGGCAACAAGCCCTGATTAATTAAATTACGGACTGCAATTAATGAAAAATTGGACAAACTTTGTGGGCTTATAGAGCATTAATAACAGCTAAGTCATCATCAGCAAAAAGAAATTACATAGTTAACGAGGGCAGTGATTGATGCAAGCATGTGAAAACTTTATTAGAAACAGCGTAATTGTTTTCAAACACATCTCAATATTTGTTTGCTATTTATCCAGAACAATGTAGGAGAACTACTGCTCAGAAACTTTAGCGCACTTTCAAAAAATTGAGCGGACATTTCTGAAAGTGCAATCACAAAGAAGTTTTCAAGACCAGTTAAACCTTTCGTCGACATTTTTAATGATCTGCCGATAGCTATTTGCCTTTGTGAAATTTGAATCAATTCAAAAAATTGGATTAGCAAGCGTGGTGGAGGTGTAGCATGCTTTGTAAGTGCGATCTGAAGCATTACCAGAGGGTAGTCTGCGAGAACAACGGGTATAAGTTAGTCACCATTCTTGCAGGTTTCCAGAATTTTCGGAAAATTTTGATGTTTTATTATAGGAAACCTTTAAAAGATGAAACAGCTAAAATTATCCGTGGTGACTTCAATATTGATGAATTACCTCATTCAAATAGGTCAGACTCTTTTTAAACAAACCATACTCTTTTGATTTGACATAATGAATTTGGGTTTATCGCGAGACGGTGTATACTTCTTCATGCATTGATCTTGCAATTGCGATGTATAATGCCAAAATGTATACAATTAAAAACTGTATTGGTGATCATTTTCATTTTTAGCAGAGGGAGGTTTTTTTCGAATCAGCAAAATCGTTTTCGACATCTGAAACATTTATTGCAATAAGAAACCAGTAAAAAATATCAAATCTTTTTGATTAGTTTATTTCTAATGTATTAAAACATAGTAAGTACTCGGGATAGAAACACACAAATTCAAATATTATCAAAATCTATTTTCAGTTTTGTTGATTGGTTTTGAGCTTGGAAGCTCTAATTTTTTATTACATTAAAATTTGATTGGTCTACTTTACTTTACATTCATTAAAAAGAACAAAAAAAATTGAAACGTCAAAAAATTCGAAGAACCCAAGCAAAATCAAAAAATTTGAGTTTTGTAAAGCTCGGAACTTTATGACAACGGAAGTTTTTAAAAAAACGAGTAGATAAAGAAATTTGTATCGCAAAAAATCAGAGTTTTGTATCCCGCAGTGGTATTAACAGATTTCAGATCTGTTGCAATTTAATTATTATAGTAGATTTTTGATTGTACTGTTATAAAAAACAATTTCAATGTATTTTGTTTTGCAGAAATTTTTAACTGTTTATTATTATTATAGAGTCATTACCAAAAAACTCTTTTTTTCTGTATCAATTTTAACTCTGCTTTCTATAGATTGTACATTGACTTTTTCTACATACTCGCCTATCAACAAATATGAAAATATTAAAAATATTTTGAATGTAGGGTTTTCAGTTTAATTTTTGTGCTGATGTTTCATCCAAAAAAAAACGTTAAAATTCAGAAATCAGAGTTATCTTACAGCAAAAACTAATTTTTCTGAGTTAAATTTTCCAACTTTCTGTTGATATTTTTATTTCAGAAAACTGCGCTGAAAAAATTGATGGCCTTTGAAGAATTTTTGCCAAAAATGTTTTTCTTACCGTGAGAATTGGTAGGTTGCAAAGTTTTAGTGGGATCTCTTGCAAGCTGTAGTTTGCGGTAAATGTAATTACCAAATTGTAAACTCAAGTTGTCAGTTTTCAAAGTATTCCTATGTCTTTTGGCGGAAAAATTTCCTTTTTGTTCTTAGCGAGATAACAAGTTAGAAGAGCTGCCCTACTGAGTATGAAGAGTAAATCTGCTATTGGTCGTAAGTAAGTTAGTCATCAAAAGTTAGTCATCATGCTTGCAGGTTTCCAGAATTTTCGGACAGTTTTGATGTTTTATTATAGGAAACCTTTAAAAGATGAAACAGCTAAAATTATTCGTGGAGACTTCAATATTGATGAATTACCTCATTCAAATAGGTCAGACTCTTTTTAAACAAACCATACTCTTTTGATTTGACATAATGAATTTGGGTTTATCGCGAGACGTTGTATACTTCATCATGCATTGATCTTGCAATTGCGATGTATAATGCCAAAATGTATACAATTAAAAACTGTATTGGTGATCATTTTTGATTTTTAGCAGAGGGAGGTTTTTTTCGAATCAGCAAAATCGTTTTCGACATCTGAAACATTTATTGCAATAAGAAACCAGTAAAAATATTAAATCTTTTTGATTAGTTTATTTCTAATGTATTAAAACATAGTAAGTACTCGGGATAGAAACACACAAATTCAAATATTATCAAAATCTATTTTCAGTTTTGTTGATTGGTTTTGAGCTTAAAAGCTCTAATTTTTTTTTACATTAAAATTTGATTGGTCTACTTTACTTTACATTCATTAAAAAGAACAAAAAAAATTGAAACGTCAAAAAATTCGAAGAACCCAAGCAAAATCAAAAAATTTGAGTTTTGTAAAGCTCGGAACTTTATGACAACGGTAGTTTTTAAAAAAACGAGTAGATAAAGAAATTTGTATCGCAAAAAATCAGAGTTTTGTATCCCGCAGTGGTATTAACAGATTTCAGATCTGTTGCAATTTAATTATTATAGTAGATTTTTGATTGTACTGTTATAAGAAACAATTTCAATGTATTTTGTTTTGCAGAAATTTTTAACTGTTTATTATTATTATAGAGTCATTACCACAAAAAACTCTTTTTTTCTGTATCAATTTTAACTCTGCTTTCTATAGATTGTAAATTGACTTTTTCTACATTCTCGCCCATCAAAAAACAAGAAAATAGTAAAAATAATTTGAATGTAGGGTTTTCAGTTTAAATTTTGTGCTGATATTCCATCCAAAAAAAAACGTTAAAATTCAGAAATCAGAGTTATCTTACAGCAAAAACTAATTGTTCTGAGTTAAATTTTCTATCTTTTTGTTGATAATTTTATTTCACAAAACTGCGCTGAAAAATTTGATGGCCTTTGAAGAATTTTTGCCAAAAATGCTTTTCTTACCGCGAGAATCGGTAGGTTGCAAAGTTTTAGTGGGATCTCTTGAAAGCTGTAGTTTGCGGTAAGTGTAATTACCAAATTGTAAACTCAAGTTGTCAGTTTTCAAAATATTCTTCAGTCTTTTGGCAGAAAATTCATTTTTGTTCTTGGCGAGATAACAAGTTAGAAGAGCTGCCCTACTGAGTATGAAGAGAAAACCTGCTATTGGTCGTAACTAAGTTAGTCATCAAAAGTTAGTCATTATTCTTGCAGATTTCCAGAAGTTTCGGACAATTTTGATGTTTTATTATAGGAAACCTTTAAAAGATGAAACAGCTAAAAATTATTCGTGGTGACTTCAATATTGATGAATTACCTCACTCAAATAGGTCAGACTCTTTTTAAACAAGCCATGCTCTTTTAAAAATCTATGATATTGACATAATGAATTTGGGTTTATCGCGAGACGGCGTATACTTTTTCATGCATTGATCTAGCAATTGCGATGTATAATGCCAAAATCTATACAATTAAAAACTGTATTGGTGATCATTTTCATTTTTAACAGAGGGAGGTTTTTTTCGAATCAGCAAAACCGTTTTCGACATCTGAAACATTTATTGCAATAAGAAACCAGTAAAAAATTTAAAATTCTTTTGATTAGTTTATTTCTAATGTATTAAAACATAGTAAGTACTCGGGATAGAAACACACAAATTCAAATATTATCAAAATCTATTTTCAGTTTTGTTGATTGATTTTGTGCTTGGAAGCTTTAATTTCTTATTACATTGAAATATGATTGGTCTACTTTACTTTAAGTTCATTAAAAAAGAACAAAAACAATTGAAATATCAAAAAATTCGAAGAACTCAAACAATATAAAAAAAATTTGAGTTTTGTAAAGCTCGGAACTTTATGACAACGGAAATTTAAAAAAAAACGAGTAGATAAATAAATTTGTATCGCAAAAAACAGCGCCAAAAGCTCAGTGCCAATAACTTCGCTCTTCAATCAGAGTTTTGTATCCCGCAGTGGTATTTACAGATTTCAG